CCCTCCTTGGGTTTCCGAGGCAGTATCACTACGGAAGTAGATTGCCCAACCTTCCTTCCGAGGAGTGGCTAGTGGGTTTGAACTGCCAGCCTTCTGGTTGGCAGTCAAGTGCCTTAGGCACTATGCTATCAGAACTCTGCAACAGACCCATACTTAAAGAAAAGGCTTCACCCCTAACATTAAAAAAATTGGTTAATAGATGATCAACATTTATATAATTCAAGTTAAATGAAACTGTTTAAGAAATGTATATATTATTTATAAAAATTATTATTTGCTTTAACTGACTTCTGTGATAAAATGATCATGAATACAGCTTCTCATTACACAGGCTAAGACAGCTTTTTCTATAGTCCAAGGTCCTATAATTCTAGGCTTTTAGGCTGTACCCAAGTAGCTCTGGTGGTACAGTAGTTCAGACGTGTTTACTAACCAAAAGTTGATGGTTCAAACTTACCAGCCACTCTGTGGAAGAAAGATGAGGCAGTCTGCTTCCATAAAGATTACAACTCTGACAACCCTATGGGATCATGATGAGTTGGAATTGACTCAACTGTAGTGAGTTTGGTTTGATTTTGAAAGCTGTACCCACATTAAAAAAAAAAAAAATTGCTATCCTGTCAACTTAGTCAAGATGACCCCATATGTGTCAGAATAGAACTGTTCTCTACAGGGTTTTCAATGGCTGATTTTTCAGAAGTAGCTCACCAGGTCTTTACTATGAAGACTTCTGGCTGGATTTAAACTTTCGCTCAGCAGCCAAGCACATTAGCTCTTTGCACCATGAGGGACTTCCTCTCTCTTATGTTTAAGTGATACCACTGAGTCCTGAACACCATTTCAGATACTTTGGGAGATCTCTACAATTCCCACTCGTCCTGACTTAGTTTGTAATTCTGCCGTTAGTTTGACCAGGGTTAATTATATCTGTGTATATTTATATAAATCCTCTCACTTGGATGCTCTGCTAGAGATAGTACACATACAGAAGAGTAGAATTAAAATGTCAGTAGCAGAGAAAATATTGGCAATGCTGCTGGAGGTAAATATTATGGTCTGGATTAATAGAACTATTCTATGTTTTGATATCAGGAAGTGGTCAAAGTTACCTACATATATATTTAATCAGAAATTCTGTTCAGTATGTTCTTCAAGTATCAATCAACAAAAAGGACATGCTCTAATAATTATGACTGTCTGGTTTGGATGGAGGAGCTCTGGTAGCATAGTGCCTAAGGCACTAGACTGATAACCAGAAGGCTGGCGGTTCAAACCCACCAGCCACTCCTCAGAAAGAAGGCTGGGCAATCTATCTCTGTAGTGATACTGCCTCAGAAACCCAAGGAGGGGTCGCTATGAGTTGGATCCGACTCGGCACATAACAACAACAATGTCTGGTTTGGACAGTAAGATATATATTTGATTAATAAAATATAAAATTCTATGTAACAATTCTCAAAAGCTGAAACATTTTATTTCTTCATTAAGAATAACTTAATTAGCACTAAGTTTGAATTGAAAATCCAGTACTGCATTATTTTTTAATCCTTACTTATTCTTATCTGGCATTGCGTTGTTGCGTTGTGTACTTACCTGGCGAGCTACTCTTAAATTTCATTGGAAATGTTCTTAGAATAAAAAGAAAAGAAGTTACCTTTAAGTTTGCACCCCACTCCATCCAAATACCCAGATATATATTACCTGTTCATATGTATAGGTTCCAGATCATAGGTTCTTAAAGAAATTGGGCCAACGCTGATAGCAATTGAATCATAGGAAACAAAAACGTTATAGGATTTATTGATCTGAGTCATCTTCCCAGGACTGTACTTCTTCTATAAGTAGCAGCACCATGTGGGGACTTAAAGGGCCTAGGAGTCTAGGCTGCATTGTGCCCTTTGTCTGCTGTGTGTTCTTAGGTGAGTCCTTTTACCTCTCTGGCTTCATTTTCTTCATCTAAAAATAAGTTGGTGAGAAGCTTTTCCTAACTACCATCTCCAGCTCTAACTCTGTGATCATAATTGCTAACACATGTCAAAAGGCTTTCCATGAGACAAATAGCATAGTAAGCACTTGACATGTAATAACTCACATAATTCTCACAACAATTCTAACAGTAAGTATTTTTGTGTTATTTTCATTTTATGGATCAAGAAAATGAGGCATGGAGAGGCAAGTCGTATGTCTAAGTCACACAGTTGGTAAGTAGAAGGGCAAGGATACAAACTCATGTTATTTGGAACCAAAACACAAAATCTTGAGTATTATGCCACTGTAAGTCAGAACTGACTCAACAACAGTGGGTTTGAGTTTTAGATATCCTACTATGTCTTGTAATATGATATGGAGATGCAAAGCCAGGAAACACAGATGTACAGAATTTTTCTTTTTCAAAATTTCATGTGTTAAATATCTGTATCTGATTAGCAAATCTTTTTCTTTGTTCATGGTCAGAATGGACTTCCTGGATTGAATGTTGCTATGGCAAATAGTGACCACAAGACCTTTGTAGCAAACAAACAGTTGTGAACAAGAAGCAGGAACAATGCTTATATAGATCAGCAGGGTTAAAGAAATCATTCAAACCATGTATCACATGGGCAGAGTAATAAAACAACTTGAAGGTGCTGTAAAATCTGTTCTGCCAAAGTGAGGTGGCTTGGAACAATAGCACAAAACCAACAAAACCACCATGCAAGGACAGAAGCAAAGGCCCTCTACAGCAGGGAGCATCCATTTCTTGCTCCAAGGCCATGAGGCCTAGAGCTTCTCAGACTCACCACACATAAGAGTCACTTGGGGAATCAGTAGAACTCAAGTCTGCTGTGAGTTAGCTCTGGGTCCAGGGTCATCACAGTTTCCTCAAATGACCTTACTTGCATATTCCCTTCTAGCTCTAAAATTTGACATTTCTAATGATTCCTTTCTCATTCAACCTTATCCTGAGTTTCTGCTTGTAGAATTACTGGGAAAATAAAACACTATAAACCACCCCCATTGTCTGAAAGGGAGAGTAAAAGCTCAGTCCTCTTTACACATACTATAGAAAGATAATAGGAGCTCTGTCTAGAGGTAAAATCATCCTGAAAACCCATGATTTGCAGGGGGAAAACAAAACAAAAACAAAGAAAAGAAAAGAAAAGAAAGATTTCTTTGAGGCTTTTTACTTTGGCCAAAATCTTATTGAGGCTCTCTTATCCACGTAATGGTATGCTGAGTCTGGTATTAAAGATAAATCTTAATCTGATACTCACTATTAAACTTAACTGATGGAAGAAGAACTAGGATTCTTTAATCATTTAGACCTGTGCAGTCCAATATGGTAGCCATTAGCCATGTGTGGATATTCAGTACTTGAAATGTGGCTGGTTTAAATTGAAAATACTAATCAGATTTTGAAGAGAGTATGATCAAAATATGATCAAAAGAGGA